GCCTCTCAGGGCTGGAGAGGAACTATCTATTAAAGCTCTACCAGTCCAACCCTTTCCTCTTCTTGAATCTCCCTCACAGCACTCCCAGCCGGTCTTCTGGCCTCCGGTCTTTTCGGCTGACGGGGAGTTCACTCTTTCCCAGGGCAACCCATCCTACTATTGGGATTTGGCAGTTAGAAAATTCTAGAAAAGAGCTGACTAGAATTGTTCTGTGCAACCTGACTGAGCAGCGCTAAAAGCCACGGGTTCAACAAAATAGCAGCAGGGCCATTCGCTGAGCACCGCTCTGTGACAGGCACTTACCTCCTGAAACCCCCTTCCTTCTGAGGAGGACACATGCGCTCAGGAAGGTTAGGTCACTTGCCCAAGGTAACCCAGCTGTTGTGGTCAATGTTTGTGCTTTAAACCTTAGTCGACACTGGGTCTTCCCAATCAAAACCAAAAATAGCACATACACCCGCAAATCACCCTACAACAAACAGGCACACACGAAAACCAACCAAGTTACAAGGAAAACAGCCCAAACTTGCCAAGTATTAAATGCCAGGCAAGTCATAATTTTTATGACAAATCAATGTTAACAACCCTCTGGGGAAACTGAGGCTCACTGAGGTTAGAAGACATGGACATGGTCACGTACGGAGGGGCGGGGCAAGGGCCCAGCCACCATTTCTGAAGTCTGCAGTCTCCCACGATACCACATCGCATCACGTGTGTGGTGGGGGGACTTTAGCCTAATGGAAGTAAACGTTTATAATTATAATGGTCATTCTCACCAACTAGAGCTTTAAAACATGGGGTGTACATCTTCGGAGAGAGATCACCTCCCTGTACTGGAGGCGTCCAGCGAAGGTGCTTTGGAAGGGTTTCCTACTCTGGTGGGAGCTACACAAGATATCCCTGAGGTTCTATGGGCGGCGAGCATTAACAAGAGACTGGGCACAGCGCACAGTATGCAACCCAGAAGCAGCACAAAGTCAGTATGCAACCCAGAAACAAACTCGGCGTTTTCAAGAGTGGATGCTGGGCAGGAGGGAGGCCTCGGCCACCCAGCCCCCGAGCACAAGCCCACCTCTTAGAATCCTGCCCCAGCTCACACTTCCTTGATTGGTCCCCGTGGGGGAGGAGGCATTGGCACCTGGCCTGGGCAGAGGGTCATGTGGATGTGGTGCCCCCTCTGTACATCCCGGGGGCCGCCCATTCACCGAGGCCTTTCCCTTTTTTGAGAACTGGGAGCTTGCTGGCTGGGTCTGTTCCCACCAACAGTGTTCCCGTCCAGGGATCTTAAAATAGTGCCTCTTGGCTGGGGCTCTGCAGTGAGCAGTGAGGCAGGCATTTGTGCAAATATGGGCCTGGGAGAAGGACTCCTACCAGGAGGGTGGAGGGTGGGGTGGGCAGCATGGCAGGAGAGCCAAGACCTCCTGTGGAGGATGCGCCCTCCTGGCCACAGCCCCCCTCCATCTTGCAGCGGAGGCGCCGGCCAGTCTCCTCCTGCCTCCCCCAGCCTTACCGGGTCCACTTGGACTGGTCTTTAGACTGAATCCCATGGGCCCTCCTGGCCCAGCCGAGGTTCCCGGAGAAGCCCACTATGAACAGGGGCCTCTACGTTTTTCTGCTGGTTCTGACCTTGACCCCACCTAACAATGCCCTTCCTACCTGGGAACACCCCAGAAATATCGCTGAAGGCCCAACTCCAAATTTGTTTTAACAATAACAGTGACAATTGCAGCTGCCATCCATCGAGTGCTTACTGTCGGCAGGCCCGCTGCTGAGTGCTTTGACATGCATGATGTCATCTGAGCCTCACGACCATCCACTGGGAGCCAAGTTATTATTATCTCCACTGTGCAGACGAAACGAAGGCTCAGAAAAGTCAAGTAAGTTTCCCAAGGCCACAGAGTGGTGAACTGGTCGAGGCAGCATTAAAACTCAGGCCTGTCAACCTCTGGAGTCTGAACTCTTAGCCCTTGGGCTGCACCTCCTCCACCGGGGCTCCCTGCTGTTCTGGCCTCCCGTTCTCCATCCCGGCCTGATCACCCTGCGGCCTGATCACCCTGCGGGACATACCACTGGTGTGATTCAATGCATGAAACAGCCAATGCCTGCGTCGTGTCGGGAACATTGCTGGGTGCCATGCCCATCCGCTGGGAGTCCTCGGGTCCCCTTGAGGACTCTTGTTTGGGCTTGGGCTCCGTGATCTCCCCAACACGCAGGGTCCAGTTTGTTTGAGAATATCAGGGTGAGGCTGAGGCAAGCACAGACTCCCCCTTGGTGACCAAGAGACCAGCTGGACGTCCCCCCTCCTGCCCTGGTTGCAATGCTCCTCTTCTTGTCCCACCGTACGGAACAGCATGTGCATGAATCAAACTTGGGCTCCCTGAGCATCAGTTTCCCCTTTCTATATTTGGGAAAAAGTTAGGGCCTCACTAGGGTGGGTGGGAGGATTAAGTGAAACTGTGCATGAAGGACTTAGCACAATGCCTGCCAGTCAGTAAGTAGATATTAAGCAACAGCTATTATTATTACTAGTTGCTATTTTCTGGAAATTATGATGTCCGGGTGTCAAATGGCTAGGGCCTAGCACATAGTAGGTGCTCCAAGTGAAGGAAATCACTCACACAGCAGACAGAAGCCCCCTTGCTCATCCTTTCCCCTCCCACCCCCTCCTGCGGCTGTGTCATTCCTGCTCTAATGAGGAAGGTGTCCTGGGCACTGGTCCTCATTAACAATAGGGTCACTCGGGCAGCCAGGGGTGGGCACAGGTCCCAAACCCGCTCTCCCAGACCCTCAGTTTCAGCTCCAGGGCCCATTCCAGAGAAAAGAAGCGGCTGGTGTCGAAGTTCCCTCAGGCTCTGCCAGGATCTTCAGGGATGTCTGGTGGCGCCACCTGGTGGCGAGCACAGCACTGCTCCTGGTCAGGCCTGTAGCTCTAAGTGCCTCCACCCTCTGCTCTGTAGCCCATCGCCCCTTCCCTCATTCACAAGTACCATGTACTGACCACCTCCCGTGTGTAAAGACCTAAGGACCCCAACTTTGCTGTGGGGCAGAAGCCCCTGAAGCCGAAGTCACTATGCCTCCCTCTCAGGCCTGGCTCTGACCACACTCTGCCAGAATCCGCATCGGTGAAGGCAGATGACCCTCCAGTGGTTTCCAGAAGCCAAGGCTGGAGGAAGGGGCCTTCTTCCTGGCCTGAGCTGGCCAAGATGGTCACTGGGCCCACCCTTGACTCCTGCTGCCCCATTCTTCGCCCTGTCCCTCTGGCTGTTTCTCTGGTTCAGAGGACAGTGGCAGTGGGGCTGCGACAGCCCGGGGTGGGAGTGGGGGCCCTGTTGCCTGAGGAGGTATTTTCAGAGTCCCCCTCCCTCTGGAGTTTCCAGCGATAGAATGGAGCCCTGTCTAGTATTTGACCAAATAAGGTGGTATCTCTCGATGAGCTCAAGCCTCAGCCAGCTTCTCAGTTATGCTGTGGAAACCTGCCCTGGACAGATTAATCTTGTGACATTCAGGAGCGCCTCGCACCCCGCGTTCTTCCCCTAGCCCATTCCTGTAAATGGCCAAGAGTGGCCCCTCCACAGGGCGCCGCGATCCTGGATGTCTGTTCACAATGTCCCTCCCCTGCCCTCTTCACACTCCCCCCCCCCACCCCCCATCCCGCCACCCTGGGTGGACTACTCCCTCACAGTTGGCTGGGCTGTTCACTTGAGTGAGAGAGCTCGACCAGAAGGGCTGGGCAGTTCAGCATGTGATTCCAGGACACATAGACCCCGGGGTCACCTGAGCTCACAAAATTGTGGCCAGAGCCTGTGAAACCCAGAGCGCTCTCAGCCAGGAGGCTGGGCCCGGGGGGGTGGAAAGGAGACTCGGCTGAGCAATGCAAACTGTGCTAGCTCTAAGAACAGTTAATGTTCATAAAAACAATTATAAAATTATTTTATAATAATTTTCATAATAAACAGTTAAGTGTTTATTGAGCAGTTACTACGTGCCAGGCACTGTGCCAGATGGGCTATTTCTTTTACTCCTTATAATAGCCTCCAAAGGTGGATGCTGTGATGATCCCTTTTCGAGAGATGTGGGAGCTGAGCCTCAGAAAGGTTTCAGGGAGAAATGGGCCAGGCCTCTGTCAGTTCCTGGGCACGGCACTCATTTTACAGAGAAGGAAACTGAGGCTGAGAGAGAATCAAAGTCACAGACAGTCACAGGGGGCCAGGTCCCTGGCGTGGAGACCTTCTCTATGCAAGGGAAGGCCAGCACGACTGGCCATGAAGTCCTCATGGATCTGAGACTTGGCTGGTGTGAGAACACAGATTCAGAAACACATTCCCAGCAGGCCAGAATTGCACAGAAAATGTCCCAAGAAAAACAGCCTGGGCTGGTGGATAGAGCCCTGCACAGGACCAGGTATGAACCCCAGCTCTGTCCTCTGTAGCTCACTGTGTCATCCTGCACAAGTCCCTTCCTGCTCCAGCCTCAGTTTCCCCGCCTGTGAACTAAGGAAGCAAAACTCCCGTCACCAAAGGCTGTTGAGCTCACCTGAGACCGGGTGAGGCCAGAGCGCCTGTGTCTGTTTCCCTGGGAGATGGGGTCTGTGTCCTGCTCCTGGCCAGCACACTCTGAGAACATTTGCTCTCCTGACCAACGGACAGCCCGTCCCTCCTCTGCCCTCACCCCCTTGCCATCCCCAAAGCAAACGAAGCTGATTGTCTTAGCAGGCCCTGTGGGTGCTGGCCGGCCGGCCGGCCGCAGGCCACAGACGGAGGTGCCACCCGCCAGAGCCCCACCAGACACACAGGGCATTGTCCCTTAGTCAACAGCCCCTGGGCACCTCGGCCGGTTCCTGGCCTGCCCCCACGCCCCTCACCGCCTGCCACTGCGCCAGGCCCAACCAGCTGGGGGCCCAAGCCGATGACGAGCCCACCCACCCCCGGCAGCCCCCTGATGAGCTATAATTGCTTCGCTCCATCCTGTTGCTGCCATTCTCTTGGAGGAGGCATCTGGGGTTCCAGGCGGGCGGCAGCTGCAGGCCGACCGCCTGGCTCGTCGGGATGGACTGGCTGTACAACCTGGTACGTGGCGCTTCCCCACCCCCACCCCTTTGAGGGCCCGAGTGTTTCCGTACTTCTTTCCTATTGATTAATGTCTGGCTCTGTTTGGCTTGGAATCGGCCGAGTTCTCCCTCTGCCCTCTCCCCCAGGGCTGGAGAGAAACAGACTGGTCTCACAGCCTGCAGCCATGGCCAGTAGCTCAGGCTCCTGAACTGGGCCCGTCCACACTGAAGCCCTTTCAGGCCAAAGGCACCTGGGGAGATCCTGGCAAACTCAGTTATCGGGGTTTTTCCAGCGAGTCCTTGGGTGCTGAGAGCCAGGCGGTGTGACCCGGGGCAAGCCCTTCTGTGTCTCTGTGTCCCACCTGCAACATGAGAGAAGGGGCCTCTGCTTCTGTTCCGTGTCCCTCTGCATGAGGAGCCAGAGTGTGAGAACACCGAGTGAGAGACGCAGATGCGAGGAGAAAGCCTATGGTTAGGGAGACATCTTTCTGCATCAGGATCTGGGACCAAAAAGGAAGAATGTAGTGACTTGACTCTCTGTCGTGGATTTTGCTCCAGGAAATGGCTCTGCCAAGAGGGACTACGCTCAAACTTGTTTCCAAGGGTCAAGACTTGCTGGGTAGCCTGGAAAGGTCAGGCGCGGGCCATGTGAACCGTGGGGTGAGGGACACAGGGCAGGCAGGGGCCTGGCTAGATTCCGTGAGGAGATGAAACTCCCCCTGAAGGTTTCCCCCATCTGCCAGCCCTGGCCCTCCCCCAAGCCCTGGCCCTTCTCTCCCCGGCTTCCTGAGGAGTCTGGGTTCTGCTGGCCCCCGGGGCCTCTCCTGTGTGAGCCAGGGGCTTTCCTGACACTCCGGGTTCTGAGGGCAGAAATGGACGGCAGGTGAGGGTGGAGAGGGGTGGGTGAGGGAGGACGAGGGGTGGGGCAGGCAGAGGGTTAGGGGTGGAGGAGGAGAGCACAGGTGCCATGGAGTCCAACAGAGATCCTGGGCCTCCACCTGCCCCCCTCCGCAACTTCATCTCATGCCCCCTCCCCCTGCCCGCCCCCCCGCCCCCTCCCCGCCACCCACACTCTACTAGGCCTCACTGTTTCCTTCCAGCAAAGCTCTTAACCAACTCAAACCTCCTCTCACACTGTTTCCCATCTGCCTCCCTCTTATCCTTCAAACTTCACCTGACATGCCTGCACCCCAGAAAGGCTTTGCGGGACCCTACACTGCCACCTGGCTAAGCGGGTGGCCCTGTTCTTCTCTAACCATGTGCTGCAGGGTCCCACCATCGCACGTATCTCTAGGGAGATTTAGGTGTTTGCTTTCTTGTTCACCACCTGTTCTTTCTCCCAGACTGTGAGCTACAGAAGGCAAGGATGGTGACAGCCACTCATTCACTCAGACACGGGGGCTAGGACAGTGTGAGGAAACTGGCGCAATGCCTGTCCTCATGGGGTCTGTGCTTAGTGGGGGACAGGCCTAGAAGAGAATCACACTCAGAGACTGTAAGACTGTAGTCATGCAAGAGGCATGTGGTGTTGAGAGCCCAAGAAGGCCCACCAAGGCCTCCGTAAGGAAGTGACACTAGAGAGGCATTTAGAGGGCGAGGAGAGAGGCCCTCTGCAGGTAGTAGCCTGTGCAAAGTCCCTGTGGCAGGAAGGAGCATGGTGAGAGGAAGGGAATGAGAGAAGGCCAGAGGCTGAGACGTGGGTGTGAGAGGAAGCTCAGGCCCCGGAAACTGACTTTATTAGATTTGCATTTCAAATAGCTGTTCTAGATGTGGAGAATTGATTCGGAGGAGGGGAGGGGGACTGTTGAGCTGTTCAGGGAAGTGAGAACACTGATGCAGATAGAGAGAAGTGGATGGGTGGGAGATTCCCGCCCCCCCCCCCCCAAGGAGAAAAATAGACTTCATTTACAAGTAATGATATTTAGAAAAGACCCATCCTTGGCCCTTAAAAACCTTTCCATCAGTTCAAATGGGCAGGGAGATGTTTGAAGGGTGCAATAGACAAGACTTAGTGATGAGTGTGGTGCATAAACGTGTTGGCACACAGGAGTGGTGGGCTGGTGGGACCAAGACAGGGCATGGCAGGTAAGAGTCACTCCCATAAGGCCTTTCCTCTTTTTTTTTCTCCACTCTGAGCCCTGACTCTTGGCCCAGAGGGAGTCCTGGTTCTCTGACCTTTGACCCATGACCTTCCTCCTCAGCTATTTCTTCTTACCATCTCCATCTTCCTGGGGCTGGGCCAGCCCAGGAACCCCAAAAGCAAGAGGAAGGGGCAAGGGCGGCCTGGAACCGTGGCCCCTGGGCCTCACCAGGTGCCACTGGACCTGGTATCGAGGGCAAAACCATACGCCCGCATGGAGGAATACGAGAGAAACCTCGGGGAGATGGTGGCCCAACTGAGGAACAGCTCTGAGCCAGTGAGGAGGAAGTGTGAGGTCAACCTGCAGCTGTGGCTGTCCAACAAGAGAAGCCTGTCACCATGGGGCTACAGGTAGGCCAGGCTGGGTGGCCGTGGGCAAGCTGCATTGCATGTTGCGGGTTGCACGGGGAGGGGGGCACCTTGCCCACTGTCCCCATCATTGTAAGAGTTAAGACCTTGGATGCAGAGGCCTGACGCCTGGGATGGAATCCTGGCTCTGCTTCTTATTTGCTGGGTGGCTTTAGGCAAGTTGCTTAGCCTCTCAGTTTCCTCAGTGGAGGTGATAGAAGTACCTACTTCCTAGGTTTGTTATTAAATGAGATATCCATGCAGAACACTGCTGTTATTGTTCTCCAAGTCCCCGCTGAAGCACCTGCAAGGCTTTCCCTGAACGTCACTTCCTCCAGCTTGGGGTGTCTTGTGTACACCTCTCAGTTACAGTTACAGCACTTCCGGGTGGTCTTGAGTTGACTGTGTCCATATCTGTCTCATGCTAGACTAGGACCTTCTACAGATTCTCATGCTCCATCTAATCCAAACCTCCAGGGCTGAGGCCCAGAAGGTGGGATTTTATACATCTCCACGTGATGAGGAGGCACAGCTAGGTTTGAGAGTCACAACCTGCTGCCCCTAGATGGAAGGGGTGGTATCTTAGCTTGGTTGTAGCTCCACTTCCTAGCACAGCCCCTGGCACTCAGAAGCCACATCTATATGTGTTGAATGAATAATGACGAAACAGACTAACCCTGAAGGGTCCTCTCACAAACTCAGGCCACACAACCGATGTCCAGAATAGCATGTTCAATAGAACATTCTCTGATGATGTCAAGTCCAACCAACCTCATGTGGCTCTTGAGCACCTGAAGTGTGGCTGGTGTGACTGGGAAGCTAATTTTGATGAATGTAAATAGCCACATGTGACTAGTGGCTACCATATCTGGAATGTGGCCATTGGAAGTGGCCATTAAGATCCTCCAAATAGCCGAAACCGGTTTGGCTCAGTGGATAGAGCGTCCTCCAAAGCTGGGCCTCTCACTGTACTGTGCCCTTGACTTTTAGGAGATCTTATAAAAATGCAGGTTCTGATCAAGAGGGGGTGGGGGGATGGGGGACACAGATTCCACATTTCTAACAAGTTCCCAGGTGATCCTGACACTGCAGGTCCACAAGTCAAGTTCACCCCTCACGTTTAGCAGACGAGGAAACCGAGACACAGTGAAGACAAGGTCCAAGTCCCCATCCTCTCAGCTGTAGGAGGGAACTCCTCTGTGCTGTCCATCAGTGAACACCCTAGGCCAAGGACAGACTCGTTCCCATGGGTGGGTGCGTGAACAATATTTGTTGCATAAATAGAAATTAAGTCAGAATAGACCCCAGGCCTCCTGACTCCTCTTTTAGTGAGAATTAGGCCTAAATGTTCTCAAATATTAACTTCCCGTGGATTAAGTTTCTCAAGACTATAAGTAAGGGGGTGGGGAGGCAGAGGGTCCTTAGCTTCTTTGAGACCCCACAGCACCATGTAGTAGCAGGATAAGGATCTTGCTGGAGGAAAGAAGAAAACTGGGTGACTGACTGGTGTCCTTGAACCTGGATAACCTTGGGGTGCCTGACTTGCCTTCCATGGTTCCTTTTCTCACCCGGAACACGGAGTTGATTACTGTCCTTCCTATGGCGAAACACAGGCTTGCCGGGGAATGAAAACCCGGGGTTAGGAAAAGCAGAGGCGTGGGGCGTGGGGGCCAATTTGCTGCCCCCCCCCTCCCAAACACACCACCAGCAGCAGCCCTGCGTTCTCTCCCGTCCTCCTGCAGCATCAACCACGACCCCACCCGCATCCCCGCGGACCTGCCCGAGGCGCGGTGCCTGTGTCTGGGCTGCGTGAACCCCTTCACCATGCAGGAGGACCGCAGCATGGTGAGCGTGCCCGTGTTCAGCCAGGTGCCCGTGCGCCGCCGCCTCTGCCCGCTGCCCCCGCGCACCGGGCCCTGCCGCCAGCGCGCAGTCATGGAGACCATCGCCGTGGGCTGCACCTGCATCTTCTGAATGGCCCCGGCCCCGGCCCAGGACCTGCGGGCAGCTGGAGAGCGCCCTCCCTGCACCCCCATGCCACACAAGGCCAATGAAAAGTAAACGCTGTCTTTCTAAAGCAAGACCTTGGCTTTGCTCCTTGTGGCTCTGAAGCCAAAACCAGGGTGGGGGTAGGAGGTTCCTGGGAGGTAGAGTTCAGATCAATATAAAGGAGGACTTCCCATCGCTCAGCCTTCTCCAACACTGAAATAGGTGATTAAAAAAAATACTGCATTTACTTCCACCATTTCGGACAGTCACATACTTCCTTTAATTTGGGTTTATAAGGCTTATTTCAGTCATGTCATTGGAGCGTGGTTGCCATAAACGTCTGCAGGAGTGACCAAGCGTTAACTCTCCCTAGGTAAGTGCAGGACCATTGCAAACAATCTCTCCCCTGTCTCTGTGAGGGTCCAGCAAAGGCTGAGCCGCTCAAGAATATGGCAGAGCGGATTCCTGCTCTGGGAGGAATAAGGTCGCCTTCAACTCGGATTCTCTGCAGGTTCAGCCTTAGACCCAGAGAGGAGCCTTGGGGCTGCCAAAGGGCAGGGGTTTTTACCCTGGGCCATCGAGCCCCTGAAATGGTCGTGTGGGAATGCACTTATTCTGGACTGGGGATCTCTGGCTTTGCACTCGAGAGTTGAGAAGCATCAACATAGACCATGCTTTCCTCCAGCCGTATCCACAGGGGGATCTGGTGAGATGGTTTGCTGACAGCAGTGGTTCTGAAACGTTAGCCAGCGTGAGAATCACCCGGAGGGCTGGTTAAAGCGCAGATTGCCGGGCCCCACACGCAGTGGTTCTGAAATGATTTGGTCGGTTCGACATGGGGGCTGAACCTCACATTTCTAAGGCAGTGTTTCCTGCTGCTGGTCCGGGGACCACCCTTCGAGAACCACTGGTTTATATCAAAGCGCTTTACTGATAAAAAAGGCAGTGTGGGTCGACTTGCCCGAAAGCTCCCCCCGAGCTGCTAATTCCCACCCACCCATCAGCCCCTTGCAACTCAATCCTCCCCCTGCCCTCCTAGCCCCTGCACCAAATCCTAAATCAGCTGCTCCCAGGTCTAAAAATACCTTCCTGCCCCCAGGACAGCTGAGGGGCTCAGGCTGTTTCTGAGGGTAAGAATAGCTGGCTCTTTAGAGTTCGTTTCAGTAAGAGGGCCATCAGCCAGTATAGAAATCCGCGGCTGCTCTCACTTCAACGCTTACAGCAGCTTTAGCTCTGAATGTATTAAGGCTCCATAATTCATGAAAGGGCACCGGTTAGGTTAGGTATGTGTCTGTCTGGGGTGGTAAGTAACTTACCTTTTTTGGTATCGTTCTAGAGTGGATACTGGTTAAAATTACCCCAGGAAGCTTCGGCCTGGCTCCAGACACATGGAAAATAGATTTCTTGTGCCAGCCCATGCTGATGCCTCCAGCAGCCGTGTCCCCTCCCTGGGGGGTTGCTTGTCTCTGAGGCCCCCACAGCCTGCTCTTCAGGCCTTAAGACTGGAGCCGCACACGAGGGACCCGGGGCCTCCAGGGCCTTTTTGTGGGGTGAGGGTGTGGGAAGATTTGAGAGGCAAGATGGTTGCTCTGGTCCTGGGAGGAGACCCCAGGGGCCCTGGGCATAGGGGTTGGGTGGGGAAACTCCTCACCTGGTGGGACTCCTCCCAGAGCACCAGTCACACAGGGATCCTCAATGAACACCAGTTAGTTTATTAGTTTTATATGGAGGTTCGCATTTTCTCTTTCCAGGCGTCAGTTTCTCATCTGGAGCTTGGTCTCGTGAGCCTGGTGGTGGTGGTGGTGGTGGGGGGGGGGGGGGCAGCTGGCCCTTCCCAGTCTCCTGGTTTAAAGGCAGCAGCAGGGAGCTTGGGACCTTTGCAGAACTGGGTCCACACTGTGCCCCCAACCTCCTTTGGTTGGAGTTTAAATGTGTCTCCCGCTTTCCACTCTCTGGTGAGAGTCCCCCAACTCCGTAAGAATAGGGGCCTCATCTGCCAACGTCAGTGCTGCATCCCCAGCACCTAGCAGTGCCACATTCAAAATAGGGGTGCAGGGCTTGGTGAATGAATGCATGCATGCATTCATGCAAGGAGGCCTCAAGGGGAGCCCAAGATCTGCCCCTAGCTCCCTCTGTTGCTCCTTCAAAGGTGGGTCAGGAGCAAGGCACTCCTCCCTCCCACTGTTCTTCACCCACCCCCAACTCAACCCTCCACAGCCCTCCTCCCACCAAAGAGCTGAAATCCTGCTTGAGCCACCTGCTCTAGGAGTGAAGTTCCTTTGAGTTCTAAATGTATACTCCACTGCCCCCAGGATGACTGAGAATGTGTGACCTCTTTCCTGTTTTATCTGGTAGATGATAGGACTCTTTGTCTTTGCAAAAGCTCTCTCTTCTCCCAGAGGGCTGTGGGTCCCTGGGGGCTCCTGGTAAGCCTGGGGGCAAAGGTTTCCCCCTGGTTCTCATGCTCCCTTACGGATCTCTGCCCTTTCCTCGTAGGTGGGAAGGTGGTGAGATGCAGCTCTCAGGTTTGGACCTGGGGAAGTGGGCAGCAGGGGCATTTTGGCCCAGTTTGGTTCTGAGCTGTTCAGGCCTGCGTACCCAGACAAAGGAAGTTTCTGAAGAAGCAGCCAGCTCCACAGCACTCAAGCTGGGCATGGAGCCAAATGCCAGCTTCGGGGATCAAATGTAACTGCCCTGGTTTGCCTCTTTTGTGCACATCCGTAGGGAGGCAACAAAGGGGTGGTTATCAGGGACAAATTTATTGGTCTTGGTCCTCTGGCCCCAAACCAATGATCATCCATTACTCCATGATAGCCCGAGGCATCTCCATTTTAAATATAAACCATGGAAGGATGCCATTTCACACTGATTTCACTGGACTTGAGAAAAGGGAAAGGTCACAGCCCCATCCTACCTGTGGCTGACATTGTGCGTCTCTCCAACACCCTTTCTACCCCTGGGCCCTTGTAGTTTGGATGAGACCACCTCTGCTCCAGGGGTGGGGCCTGACTGTTCTAAGCCAATCAGCATGTGGCATTCACTTGGCCACAGGAATTGGTTCAGCAGGGGCCCAACTGGCCCAGAGCCCAGACTTTGGCTCAGGGGTCGTGGGAGAAGATGCTCTCGCTGTGGGAGCTGTTGGCAGGCGTCCTTGACCATGAGAGAAGTAATGGCGCTGGCACTGCACAGTGCCCTGAGCTGGGACTGTTATGATAACCAATAAAACCCTTTTATTGCTTAAGGCAGTCTGAGTTTGGTTTTCTACTACGTCAACCAAAAGCATTCTTACCGATGTGTCAACTTCAAAATTTCTGTAGTAACCAAGGGCATGTTTCTCTAACTTTTAAGGCACCAACGCTTTAATGACCACTGCCATCACCTCCGCAGGGTAAAACTTCAGAGCCAGTTTGGGCCTCTGCCTACTTGAAGGGGATTTTGCCCCATGCTGAACTCAATTCATTAGGAGAAGCTCCAGATTTTAACTCTGTGAACTCACCAAGAAACCTTGGGCAAATTACTTCCTCATTTGGGGCTTTTATCTCCATCTCTTCAAAAAAAAAGGGAAGTTAGCCCTAGCCGGTTTGGCTCAGTAGATAGAGCGTTGGCCTGCGGACTAAAGGGTCGCAGGTTCAATTCTGGCCAAGGGCATATGCCTGGGTTTCGGGTTTCATCCCCAGTAGGGGACATGCAGGAGGCAGCCTATCAATGATTCTCTCTCATCATTGATGTTTCTATCTCTCTCCCTTCCTCTCTAAAATAAGTGTATTAAAAAAAAAAGGGAAGTTAGCCACATTATCAGTGTCCCTTGGCAGTGTTGTGTCCTCCTGGGCCCAACCCCAGAGCCAGATTTAGCAGGTCTGGGTGGGACTTGGGCATCCTAATCATGTTAACCTCTGAACTGCACCCCAACACCTTTTCTTTTTTTACTCTGCTGGGGTCAGTGCTTGGGGGTCAGGTATGACTGCCGTATGCTCATCTAGGGACTTGTCTCCATGCAAGACAGGTCATTGTTACATTCCTCAACCCCTGCATAATGGACAGACTGGTCAATTCCTTCAAGTGCCAAGGAAGTTTTCCTCTTCCTACGGCCTGGTATGTTTCCCATTTCCCAGTGGTTGCCAGGAAGCTTGGAGCTACCCTGACTGTCCCTCGGGGGTAACCATCTCTTCCCTGGGTCCTACCACAGCCATCTCTCCAACAATGGTATTGCTGAGAGGCTTGATGTCTAATAAGTTATTTTTTTTAAAAATTGATTTAAGAGAGAGGGGGAAGGAGAGAGAGGGAAACATCGATTTGTTGTTCCACTTATTTATGCGCTCATTGGTTGATTCTTATATGTGCCCTGACCAGGATCAAACCCACAACCCTGGCATATCGGGATGATGCTCTAACCAACTGAGCTTCCTGGCCAGGGCAATAAGTTCTTAACCAGGCACCTCACATCCAACAAGCCCTCCGCAAATAGGAGCTATTATCATGTCTTCTGTTTCCTGATCTTCCCTTCTTCTTGATTTGTGACCATCTGGTTGCTTGTGTCATTGTTGGTGTTGCCACAGGTACATTTTGGGAATAGGCAGTGAGAAACAACAAAGAAACTGGATTCAGAGTTCTCTGTCTTCTATTCATTCCCATAATTATCTCTGTTTCCTACTTAGAAAAGCCAGTCAGAATTTGCTGGAGAAGATGGACTTTTATTTCTTCCTTTAAAAAAATAAATAAAATGAATACACTGGTCTGAATTTCCTTCCCTTCTCTTACTCTCTCTTAAAAAGGAACAATCGCCCTGGCCGGTTTGGCTCAGTGGATGGAGCGTTGGCCTGCGGACTGAAGGGTCCCAGGTTCGGGTCCGGTCAAGGGCATGTACCTTGGTTGTGGGCACATCCCCGGTGGGGAGTGTGCAGGAGGCAGCTGAATCGATGTTTCTCTCTCATTGATGTTTCTAACTCTCTATACCTCTCCCTTTCTGTAAAAAAAATCAATAAAATATATTAAAAAAAAAAGGAACAATCACTCCAAGAATCCTTAAGATAGAGAGGCAGAGAGCAGGTCACCTGGACCCACTGGAGAGATTTCACTCGACATGGGAGGGGTCAGAAGGAGGCTGGGCAGGCGAGCGTGGCTTGCGCAGCCTTGGCTGCTGTGGGGGGTGATCCATCTTCAGCAGAGATGGACATTCCCAGGCTCGCCTGGAGCCCTCAGAGTTCAGTCTTCACCTTGTGCATCAAGTCCTTTTGGTCAATTTTGTCTAGGTCCTGGTACCAGCGATTGTAAGCGAGCAGGGCCACGTTCTTGGCAGCTACAGCCATGACCTCCACGGAGCTGGCTGCCCACTCCAGGGCATTGAGGTGGAAGAGTTGGTCGTGGAGTGCGAACCGAGGGAGAGTGGTGCGGGAGCCGTGGATGGGGTGGGCCTGCCACTCGGCTGTCTGCACTGAATAATAGGAGCGGAAGAGGGTCTTTAGCTGGGACCGAAGGAGAGGCTTGGGGGACTGGACTCGCCAAACGGCTGCCTCCTGAGGCTGCTTCCGCCGGAAGTTGGTCGAGATGTTGACGGGACAGATATTGTCCAGGGCACAGAAGAAAGTGGGGAAATCTGTGGTAAGGATGCTGGCGAAGGGGAAAAGCTTAGGGTCAGGGAACCCGAAGTAGGAAGAGTTGAGGTAGCCGTGGACCAAGGAGACAACGGTGGGCTGGAAAGAGTCCTGGATGACGTCGATGGGCGGGTCGAAGCCTTCAAAGGCGATGGTGCTGCTGTTGTCCAGGTGCAGGGGGGTGGCGATGACCACGATGTCGTAGAAGTCGAAGCTAGTGCCCGCCTCATTCTCATACTCGACCAGGTACAAGGGTTTCCCTTCTGGAAGGAGAGAAGAGAGCACAAAAGTCAACTCATTTCTTGGCTTCTACCCATCGATCTCTCATCTGGGGCCCAGAATGGAGGGTGTGAGACCCCTGGGTGTGGCTGGGCTGTCCAGATGGTGGGGGTCGTCTTTCCATGCAGGTGTGGCTGCAGGGCAAGCACTGGACTGGGAGCCGGGAGACTCAAGCTCTGGCTCTGCTACCGCTGCTGACTGTGGTCAAATGAATAGAGCTAGATTGATGCGAAACTGTGTTCTGGCTTTGACATTGGAATTGGGACAACAGTGCCCTCTGGTGTCACTTGACAAGGCTGGGACTTCCCATTGGTTTTTTGGAATCCTCCCAGGCAGATCGAACTGGAGTTTGGGGACAGAAGAGGCCTAAGTGTTCACTGTCTAGGAATGGGGTGGCCACGCCCCCTGCTGTCTGCTTACCTGTATGCTGCAGGGTCACAGAGGTCACTGTGGCATGGATCACGTTGGCCTTGGTGAGCTTCAGCAGACCGGAACAAACCAGCTTGTTGCCTCCCTCCACGGACCACAGGATGCCTTGGGCCCCCGCTAGTGCCATGGCTCCTGGGCAAAGGGGAAAGGGGGCAGAATCACTGGGCAGTAAGTAGGGCTGACGAATCCACTACCATCCTACCTGGCCTCCCTCTCAGGCCAAGACTCCCCCCAGCCATGGGCACAGAGAGACATAACACACAAAATTAAATGTAACAAATGTACAATGTTATGAGGTGACAACACCATGCTCAATGCAAGAGCCAGCTACCTAAGAACACAGACTGTATGATTCTATTTATACAGACTATCCAGAATGGGCACATCCATAGAAACACTAGGTAGATTCATGGTTGCCTAGGGCTGTAGAGCTGGGGGTATTGGGGAGTTGATAGCTAAAGCTAAAGGTATGAGGTTTCTTTTGGGGGCAATGAAAATGTTCAAAATGGTAGTGATGCACACCTGTGAATATAGTCAAAACCACTCAATTGTATACTTTAAATGGGTGAATTGTGTGGTATGTGAATTGTATTTTGAAGGATACACACAAGATACTAAAAAGGGAACAGGGAAGCTCCATGAGGGGACACGTAGCAGGATCTGAAGACTGGGAAGGAGCTTGTCAATTTCAAACCTTTTCATTCATTTATTCACCAAAAATGGGCTGAGTGCCTACAATGGTCCAGGCACTTTCTAAGTGTTAGGGGCACATTAGTAAACCAGGGAGACAGAGATTCCTGTCCTCAGGAAGCATAAATTCTACTGGGAGAAAAATAAGTAAGTGTAATCGTCTGCTAGAAGATGATGCCTGAGGGGAAGGGAGACCGGGGCTGCTGGGGGCAAGAGGCAGGGTAAGACAAGGAGGTGGGGTAGCTTCAAGAGAAGGCACCGCCTGCACAAAGACATGATGGGGAGAGAGAGTTTAGCACAACTGCGTCTCAGGGAAGATTGTTCCAGGCAGAGGGATGGCCACACAAAAGCCCTAAGGTGAGGAGCATGGAGGCATGGTGAGGAGGGCAGAGTGGCGGGACTGGGGTGAGCGGGTGGGGAGAGGCGGTGGGGCCTGGACCATGTAGGGCCTAGGAGGCCACAGAGAGGACTTTGGGTTTCACTTGAAGGAAAACAGGAGCCCTGATGCAGCTTCACAGGCAGACCTGACACGACTCGTCTTTTGTTTTAAAAGGATCATCCAGCAGATGTGGTGAGAATAGCCTGTAAGGGGCGGGGGTGTGGGCGGACCCAGTGGGAGACTTGCAGCAATTCAGGTGAGGGATGATACTGGCTTACACCAGGGAGGAAGCAGTGGTGGGAACCTGCCGGATTCTGGATGAAATAAAGCAAATGAGATTTCTTGACACACCATGTGGAGGGTGTGAGAGAAAGAAATGCGTCAAGATTTGGGCAGGAGCAACCGTGAGGAGTTACTACCAACCCCGTTGGGAGAAGCAGGCTCCAGGAGGAAAGGTCGGGAGCTCAGGTTCGGCCGTGCTGACTCTGAGACAGCCATTAAATGTCCCAGTGGAGACATGAGGGTGGCAGCTGACATGTGAGACTGCAGTTCTGGAGAGAGGTCTGGGCTGGAGGTCATGCTTAGGAGGCAGGTGGGTGGAATTTAACGCCCCGAGACTGGCTGAGCTCACCAAGGGCGCGTGAGAAGAGGACCAAGGACCGAGCCTGGGCCCTGCCATGTTATGAGGCCGGGAGGAGAGAAGGGCCCAGCCAAGCAGGCTGGGAGGAGAGGCCAGCAAGTGCCTGTGCAATTTCTTGGCCTTAAATGCCCCAGCTCTCCATCCTCCCACGGCCCCAGCAAAATCCTACCACATCTTCCAAGGCCCGGACGGTGGCCATGCCTGGGGGAAGACATGCCCAATGGCTCTGCAGGCAGATTTAGTTATGTCCCTTCTTGTGGCCTGTGCTGGAGGACAGTGGGTTGTGCACATGCTCACTGACCCAGTCATGAGCTGGGAAGATTAGGTGGGCTAATATGTAGATGAATACCAGGGCCCAGGGGCCCACTGGGTAGTTACTGAAACTAACCTAGTCAGAAGTAGCAGAAACACATTGGACCTGAGATCTGAGCCTCGCTTTTGCCATCTGTAAAGTGGGGTAGATACATCTCCTGCCAGCTCGGAGGACCGATGCCAGAATCAAATGGGGTCGGGGCCACTAAGTGCTCAGGCAGCTGCACTGAGCCAGGTAGATGTGAGGTTGTTATAGGGAGTCAGCCCATGCTGGGCACTGTGGGGCAGGGGAGGGCAGGTGGGCAGGCCGAGGGCCACAGGCTCACCAGCAAAGGCGGGCATCGCTGCTGACTGGCCGTAGCTGGCCCGCAGGACGGCAGAGACGATGTCGTCGATAAAGCGCTGCGTGACGCCCACCTGGAGCAGGGACTCCGCCACAGAGCGCTGGGTCATGTTGATGAAGCTGGACTCCCCCAGCGAGTAGAGCAGCTCCTCCACGCCCGAGAAGGCATAACCGTGGGCCTGGTACTTATAGATCCTGGGAGAGATGCGGAGCGGGAGCCCTTACGCAGAAAGGCCTTTGGGCAGACCACCCGCTACTGGGCCACTGCTCCTGGGAGGCCCGGCAGGGACCCACCCTCCTCTGCATGGTTACATTCCCCTGAGTCTGTTCACTGGCTGTGGGGGGCCTGGCCCACCTAAGGGGACAGCGCTGAGTGAAGGGCAAATGCCTCGGAATCCCATCAGACCGGGCTTCACATGGTGGCTCTGCTGGATGACAGCTGCAAACATTCTCTGAGCCACTCCCTGTCAAGGGCACAGTCCTCCTCTTGCGCAGCTGGGACTGCCAGGCACTAGGCCACCGCCCCACGGATGCATCCCCCTCTCTAGGACCACATGGGGCCCGATGGCAGCTGCCTCATGCCAATATTGTCACCCTCTCTGCTAGCCCAGCCTGTCCTCTCCTTTAGCTTGATCTAACAGGACTGCCACCTACTCCCCAAGCTCGCATCTTGCCCCTCCCTCCATAACTCCCCCAATCGCAGGGAGCATGTGCTGATGGATTTCCGGGTGGGTTGGCCTTTGACATGTTGCCTCTGCTTGGGCTGCTGTGTAAACATGTTGAGTCTGGTTATTAACGGGATACCCAGATGGAGGTGTCCAGTTAGAAATGTGGGTCAAGCAGTTAGAAACGTGGGTCTGGAACTGAAGGGGAAACAGGCTGACAGGGAGAAGTGTCTCCCACAAAAGGGAGAAGTCAGCTTTGTATGTTTGCATACAATGGACAAGGGAGAAAACCATAAGAGAGTGGTGAGGATATGACGTTTGGGGGCTACCTGGAGAATATACGGAGGAGGTGCCATAAAAGGCACCGTCAGGAAAGAGGGGAGAAGTGCCAGGGACAGGAAGGAGCGCCTCTGTACCTGGCCCAGGGGCAGGGGGACCCTTTGTGGGGGACTCTGAAGGAGAGCTGGAGGGCCAGCGTGGCAAGCAGGTGAACTGCGAGAAAGGGACAGAGTGACCACAGCCACTCGGCCTTGTGCTCTGGAAGTGATGGGGAGGGGCTGAGACCCAAGGAGGAGAGAAGGGTGAAGAAAGGTGTTTGTTTGCGGTGGGGAAACTGGGAGATAGCAGTGTCAGGGTCAGCCCGCAGGCTGCACACGGCCGACAGCTATGTTTCCTTCGGCTAAGAAGAAGAATGGGTTGCATACATTGAAAAGCTGGGAGATTTCACATGTAACTCCAGATTTTCAGCTTCTTCTGAAAAAACTGGAAGAACTAGCCACATGAGGTAGGTATTCCCCCACGGCCGCACTTGGTGCTAGCAGAGTGCCAGCTGCCCCCTCTGAAGGCCTTGCTCTTTAGGGTGCCCCACCCCACCCGCTCTCTCCCACCTGCTGCTGTATATCCCCTTTAGGTGCCTGAGTTTACAACCCCTGCTTAGCAGAGATAAAGAGGATGCTATCGTGATAATACCAGAGGCCATGCCTATACCAACTCAGGACATTCCTCCCCCTGGGTGCTGGCTCGGGGCCTGGACGGAATGGTGCTGGGTCCCTTTTCCTTTTGGACAATGTAGAGTCAAGCCGGTTCCTTGCCCACCTCGTCCCCCTGTCCCTACCTCATGAACTTCTCCATGACCTCCTCCACCCACATCTGCAGCCGCAGGAAGCTGATGCCGTAGTGCCACCAGAGGCGGAAGAGGTTCAGCAGGTACCAGTCCGTCTCCTCCAGCACGAAATTCTCCCCGCCGAAGATGGCGCTCCTGCCCACCACCTCTCGCCGGTGTTTCAGCCCTGAGGAGACAAGGAGGAGCCCCTCAGGTCCCCTTCAGAGGGCCCCCCAGGAGACCTAGCGGTGCCGGAAGCTGAAATTCGGGGCCTTTCCGCGGGATGCAAATGGACTGGCTCCCTTCAAGGGAATATGAACTCTATGGTTCATCCATCTGTGCTGCTTGTTTAAGACAGTCAACCAATGCACGGGGGAAAGGTTGGAGCTGGTTAGTCAATAAGGAGATAAAGATTAAAATAATGGACTATTTTACTTTTTTTTCCCCCCAAAAGGGATCCACTCAGTCATGAGTGAAATTCAGGTGCCATCCTGAATGTCGGGGGTGGACAGCTCTGGGATGGCAGCCCTGGGCACCAAGACCACACGGGAAGAGTCTCAGCTCCTTGTAACCACCACGCTCTACAGCTTGCAGAGCACAGGCACATGTGTATCTCACTCCGTCCTCTCATGGTCCAGGAAGAGGCAGCACAGGTGTCAGAGATGTGGAAACCGAGGCTTACAGGTTAAAGGACCTGTCCCAAGTCACAGGTTTTTTGTCTTCACCCTCCCATTCCCGTCTCTGAGTCACCAGCATCTTTGTTCAGCATCCTTCCAGAGATTTTTTGTGCAAATACTTATAAAAGTGTATATTTCTGAGTTCTCCCTCTCCCCCCACATTCTATACACTGTTCTGTACTTTACCGACATGCTATGTCTTGGAGATCGTCCTATGCCTGGACGTAAAGGACGCCCTCATCTGGCTGACCAGTCTATATACTTAAACAATAATTATTTAATCTCAGATCCCAGTGGGTGGGCAGGTAGGGTATTTTCCACCTTTTGCTATTCTAAACAATGCTGTGATGATAACTGTATGTGTCTGCCTCATTGCACATGTGCAAATATCACTTCTGAGAAGTGGAATTTCTGCATCGAACAGTATACGTTTTTGTGGTTTTGATCGATGCCGCTGGGGTTCAATCCCAGCTCTCTCACTTATTAGCTGCATGGCCTTAGCCGAGGTGCATACATTTTCTGAGCTTCAATTTCCGCAGGAGGAGCTATGACCCCATCTTGCAGGCTGGTAGGGAGGATTAGAGGTAATGTCTACGTACCACCTACAAGGATGCCAGGTACCTGGCAAGCACACAGCAGGTGCAAGCCATTACGATTATGATTATGAAGAGGCAGCAAATTGGAAGGGAAAGAAACTGGCCTGGGAGTCAAACCTGAGTTGTAATCCCGGCTCTGCAACTAACTCACTGGGTAACCTCAGGCAAGTTCCTTCCCCTCTCTGGTCTCAGCTGCTCCATCTGTAAAATGAGGAGATTGGGCTCCATGACCTTCTGGCCTTGACCATCAGGGGTGGGCAATATGGGAAGGGCCTGATGGCTGCTGCCAGCCCTAGGGGCTGGGCGATGGAGCCCCAGGGCGGTGCACTCACCCAGGTGCTTGACGAAGTCCTGCATGTGCAGGCTCAGGGAGTGGAAGGAGGCGGCCCCGCTCTCATAGTGCTGCTTGTTGACCGAGATGGTGGCCAAGCGGCCACCCACCGTCCCCTTCTCAAACACGTCGATCTGCACCCGGGGGCCGAAATGCTGCTGTAGGAAATGCGTCACGGCAGAGCCCCCGATTCCAGCTCCAACCACGGCTGCCAGCAGGCCCGGGAGGCAGGCAAGGAGAGAGACAGAATATGGGCATGAGACTGCAGGACACACCCTCACGGCCTCCTGGGCCAGGGGTTCCCAGGCACTTGCAGAGGGTTAGAACCTCAGAAAGGCCATCTGCGGACTAGTTGTTAGTAAAGCGAATACTCAAGAGCAAAGGACAATATGAAAACTGCCAACTACTGTAACCCTCACTTTGTAAAAAGAAGAAAAAAACACACACACATTAGCAGCAAAAAAGCAGGGACCTTAAATTTCAGGATGATCACTTAAAGAGAATAAATTTAGTTTGATAAAAAACCCATTACATTGTCCCTATTTTTTTATTTCACTATGAAAACCTGGTCACGCCCTGGCCGGTTTGGCTCAGTGGATAGAGCGTCAGCCTGTGGACTGAGGGGTCCCGGGTTTGATTCCGGTCAAGGGCATGTACCTTGGTTGCGGGCACATCCCCAGTGGGGGGTGTGCAGGAGGCAGCTGATCGATGTTTCTCTCTCATCGATGTTTCTAACTCTCTATCCCTCTCCCTTCCTTTCTGTAAAAAATCAATAAAATATATTTTTTTTTAAAAAAAGAAAAGAAAACTTGGTCACTGACTGGTACTATTAGGTAGAACAGTGTTTGGAAACCATTCTTTAACCCAAGGTTTGGCAAACTAGAGCTCATGGGTGAAATCTATGCAGATGCCTGTTTTTCTGCAAACAGTTTTATTGGAACGCAGCCAAACCTGTTCTTTAGCTTGTCTCTGGCTGCTTGCCTGTGAGGCAGAGTTGAGTAGTTGCAACAGAGACTATAAGGCCTGCAAAGTCTAAAATATTTACTCTCTGACCCTTTCCTGAAGAAGTCAGCCAACCCTTGGTCTAGTCCAACCTATTACCTGACACATCGTTTCTTTATCTGTCTTGGCCAAGACTGGAAAGCACCCTGTGATGGGTTGCTCAGAAGCGTATAGGGGACTTTATTCCAGTTTAGGCTCTTGTTACAAAGTTTCAGCTCTTGGAGGTCTTTTTGCGTCTTATCATCCCTTGTGTGTCCTACACCTCTTCCCTTCGAAAACTTGGTTCACACGCCATCAGTATTCTTATTCAAGTCACTGATAAAAAACATCTCACCGTTTTTTATCAGGGCTGTGAGGTGCTACTGGGAACCACCATCCAGATAGATACTAAGCTAGATACGAATTTAAAACAGGACTGTGAGAGGACAGTAAGGCAGCTCTGAAGCTACGGAACTGGCCTGACACCGGACCCACATTGTATCTGATCCTCTCATCTGACAGTCCAGCTAGTAACTCTAGTCAAGAAGAAAATAAGATAAATCTGGTGTGATTTGTCCTTCCTAGACCTACGGTGGACCCTGAAACCACCAGCTCCTGTCCAGTAGGCAAAAAGGCAAGGCTCTTTATCATCTGGCCTCCACTTACTTATTCCATCCCCTGCCCCACCCTTGCAACCCTTATCTCTGTGGAGCACGTGACTTTGCTCTCTCGTGCCTCTGCCTTTGACTGCATTGCTCCCTTTACCAGGAATGCGCTGTCACCCTCTGCCTCGCTGGCTTCTAGGGCCCTCATGCCACTGCCTGGCTTGCCTGGCCCACCTGACGAGTCAGGTGTCCCTCCGGCATATTTCCGCGTCACACTGTCTTGACCCCTGGCCTGGTCCTTGGCACGTTCTGCTCAAATGCTCTGTTTGAGGACTGAGAGCAGGTCACTCTGCCCCCAGAGCCTGGCAGGCAGGAGAGTCCATTAAGTATTTGTTGTACCTTGAGAAAACAAACCAAACCACTTCCCCCTCCTCGGTGTTGACAAAGCCACTTCCAAGAATGCCACTAACCGTTTTAAACCAGTGTGCTCCCCTCCCCTCCATTTGCAACAGAGCCCCAAACTGTCCACTCTTCCAGAGAAACCGGTATCACAAGGCCTGGAAGCTGCCCAAGGGTCAGAGGGAAGCAGAACACCTGGCTCACTCAACACCCATGAACTGACACCCACTCTCTGGGGCACACGATGAATCAGACAGGGCCTCTGTCCTCCTGAGCCCAGGCAGAGAGGGGCAGACAGACTCATGCACAAGCAGCTACGATAATGTGTGACTAAGGGCGACAACAGGGTTCCAGGGAATCCTGAGGAGGAAGCAATGAGTCCTGCCCGGGGGTGGGGAGACACAGGATTCACAGGAGAAGGGTCGCTTGGTTGGGACTCTGGAGGACAACCTGGAAGCCCGTGAGCAGAAACACATTCTCCACAGAGAGAAGAGCGTGAGCAGGGCAGCGTGTGGAACTACAGGGGACTTAAAGGGTCCAACGCCACACCGAGGGGTTCAGATGTGACCCTGCAGCAGTCTGAGGGTTAAGCCACGCTAACAGGAAGCTCCTCATTATGGTGTGGGTAGAGTTCAAACCACCAAGGGTGGACGGAGGCTCCTGTCAGAGAGCTGAGGACAATCAGGAAGCCACAGGGCAGCCGGGCATTGCCAAGTGTCCTGCTTTAGATGACCCCTGGGGCAAGGTAGGCAGGGCCAGCTGGAACGAAGCAGGCAGCAAGCTTCGCATTGCCAGGAACAATAGTGCTGGGAGGAGGCCACTGACCCAGTGGTCAGTGGGTGTCCTGCTCTGTTGTCCATTCCCAAGAGAAGGAAGAGTGCCCAGCACCTCCAGATACTGCCTGCCTAACTCTTCCCCATTCTTCAGAGCCTGGCTCAAAACCCACCTTCTCCACAAGGTCTTCTTTGGCCATGCTGGCCCTCAAGAGTCTTTCTTTAGAAAACCCCAAACTCTCGGTCCCAAATTGATTTCTGACATGCTTCGGTCTGTCTTAACCCTTTGTGGCCTGAGCTGTGGCTTTGTAACCCAAGACGCCTTAGCACTGCACTGACCCTAAGTGTGTGGTGCTCCCATGGGACATCCCTCCCTGCCAAGTGGGGCACACAGAAGGAAGAAGAGTGGAGTGGGGGCTCCTACTCCCCCACACCAGAAGTCCACCACCTCTGCCAACCTATGGAAGTTTTCCGTGAGGGACATGACAATCTTTTGAGTCATGTTGAGTTAAAATGACAATCGTTAAGAGGAAAAAAAACTGTGAACAAATATGGAAAGCTAGTCAATGACATGCATGATGAAGTGCTTAGCAAAGCGTCCTGATGCCTGCAGTTTATTTTGAAATCCATTAACATGTCAGATGGGCTCATGGATGTGGACAGGTATGTGATAAGGCAAGTAGAGTAGCAGTCTGGTAATGGCAGGAACCAGGTGGTGGGTAGAGGGATGATCACTGTGAAATTCTTTCAACGTCAGTGGACATTCGAAATTTTTCAAAATAAAATAATGGGGGATGGGGGGGAAACAGGCAAAACCCACAAAACACAACACACACAAATACTATAAAATGACTGCTATTAAAAAGTTCCCCAGTCTGTCACTCAGCAAATCTCCAGTAGACCTACCCTGGGCTCTGTCTCCACTAGGGCTGTCTCCTACTCTCCCAGAGGCCTGGTTTAGGTGCTGCTTCCAGAAGCGCCCCAGGGCCCCCCCAGAGCCATCAGAGGCTGGGGTGAAGCGCCCTTCCTCTATAGCAGGGTACTCATAGCCTTAGCACTAACTTCCCGGTATTGTGCAGTTTTCTTCTGCAGGAACTAGGAGTGCCGTGCCTGCTACCCAGGCCTTCAATCAGCCTTTGTGCATGCCAGTCTCTCATACCCTGACCTCTGTTATCGGGGGCACTTGACAAAGAGCCTGCTCCATGGCAGATGCTCACTGTTTCGGAATTTTTCGGTGAGATCACTGGCCAGTCCTGCCCAAGCCCCTTTTCCACCCCAGATAGCCTCGACACATGCCCATGCCACCCTCCGCAGCAGCACCTTGCCTGCTGCGATCCCCTTCCGCGCCCAGTCGCAATCCCTCGCCTCCTCCCCACCCAGCTCCTCTCCCGGGGACCCCTCCATCGCCCAGCTGCCTTCCCCATCCCCCACCCAGAGGCTGCCGGCTGAGAACCCTTTTCCCGCGCAGCCCTCCCCAGCTCAGCACCCCATCGCGTCCTTCCCGCACCGATTTTACTAGGCCCGGCGTCTCCGCCTGTAGCGGCGGCGGCGAGGAGCGCGGCCAGCGCGGCGAGGAAGCGAGCGGCGCGGGCCATGGCGGGCGGCGACGGGGGCAGCGCGCCGGGGTCCGGTGCTCGCGCTGGTGCTGGGCTCACCGCCCCGCCCGGGAGCGACATGGGCCGTCCCGCCTTCCAGCCCCTCGGCTCACAGCCTCTCATTGGACGAGCAGCCGTCCCTCTCGGGCACAGGCTGCATCTCTCTCGGGCAGGCTCTGTCATTGGCAGCTTCCCCGTCCCGCCTCCTGGATCTGGGCTCGTCATTGGTTGGCTTATCCAGGTGTGCACTTTCGGGTGCTCAGCATCAGGACCTGGGTCCTGCTGCGGGAAGATTGGTGGAAGAGGAAGAACTAAAGCTTAGACGACTTCGGTTCAAGTCCACCTCTGAGAGGTACTAGCTCTGTAATGTGCCTCCTCTGTGTCTCAGTTTCCCTGCTCAACCTTCCTAGGTGGTTGTGATAATCACGTGACACAAGGAATGTGAAAATGCTTGGTAGTGTTTGCAAATGCTGGAAATTGCTGATCAAGCATGCAGCCAGGGTTACCCTCTGTATATGCTTCTGATACTGCTGTTACGTTTACTTGCAGTTTCTACATAGTTAGTCGCTAAGCCTTCTACTTAAAAACAAAACAAACTAAAGGGAAGGATTTCATCCACTCAGTGAAGGAAAGGTAAAAAGGAAGGGATAAACCTCCATTTTCACCCTCTAAGAAAACTAGACTAGTCAGTGTGGATAGTTTGCCACACTGAAAGACAGATTTCCTCTAGCAGGAAATAAAATTGGGGATAAATAAGTAAAATCCATGTTTATTGTTAGATTATGGCTAAGAGAAGAAATTGAAGGGATTCAGAGAATAGTAATGGAGCTTATAGCCGAGGTCCTAAACTAGCTTTGTGTCTTAAGAGGGCCAAACTGGATTACTAGTAAAGTGGTAGATGAATAAACAAACATTTATATATATATATATATATATATATATATATATATATATATATAAAACTCCACAAAAAAACACCCCAAAACTTTGGCTATGTTTGTGTCAGAATGCAAAATCTTTTAAGTTTACTTCCAAAGACAAAAAATTCCTTAAATTTTTTTTGAGCAAAGCTCTTTTCTGTGCTGACTTAATGGTGTAGGTTTTTTGTAGGGTAAATCATATTAACTTTAAAACAACTTCTTCACTCTGCTTGTAATTTCAGGGTCCTTGAAAACTCTAGAATCTAGAGCTGTGTTTTCTTCTGTTATGAAGTTCTTCCAATCCTAACATCACATTGGCAGTGTGAGCGCATCAAAGTTGTAGGCCGAGTTCAAAAAAGCTGTACGAGGAAAGCAGAGGCATGATTCTAGAAGCAGGGGTGTTAAAACAACTAGTGAGACTGGGGATGAGGTTGGGTGGCTCTATCAGTTATCTACTGCTGCATAACAAACTACCCCAAAACATAGTGGCTAAAAGTAAGTTATTTGTCCCAAACCCGCACTTTGGGCAGGGCTGTGAGATCAGGTCATCTCTGTCCCATGTGGTGTCCGGTGAGGCTGAAGGACCCACTTTCAAGATGGCTGGCAAGATGGTGCTGGCTGTCAGTTGGGTTGGGCCAGCTTAGCTAGGCCCTCAGTTCTACCCCACAGACTGCTTCAGCTTGCTCTTGGTTTGGTGGCTGGCTTCTAAGAGTGACCATCCAGAGACGGAAGGTTTGTGTTGAGAAACTACATTCTATTGGTCAATCACAAAGTTCAAATTCAAGGAAACTTGGAACCAGGTTTTCATGTTTTAAAACCTCCACTGTGAAATTAAGATGTGGACAAAGTTTATGAGTACATAGGAACTAGAATTTACTTACCGACTAACACTGGGAATATGGGAAACAACAAATCCTGGAGTCAGGGTGTGCAGAAGAATGAAAACGAAAGGCCACACTGCAGGAAAGGCTGGCTCCAAAGAAAGCCACTCAGCCAGGAGGCTGGGGAGGTGGAAGTCAGCTGAGCAGAGGTAAAAACAAGGCCAGGCAGAGGTTGGGAAGGACAAGGTCACGTGTTAGTAATCTGGTTGAGGATGGTAAAACATCCAGCAGTTCAAGTTAAGTGTTTAGAGCAGACAAGACAATTACAACCAAGAAGCAAGCATGAGAAAATAAGGCAATTCTAGAGAGGAAGGCAAAAACAGGAGTCTAGATCTAAAAAATACAAAGGAATCAGAAAGCAGCAGGTCAAGGAGCTATAAAAACAGACAAGACTTCAACACCAGGGGAGGCTGGGGAAGGCCTTCACTGCATCCATTTGGCTGGGCTGCTGTGAAATCTCAAGGTACCGCCACTGAGCACCAAACACGGTGGGTCACAGTCACTGAAGTGGCCACAGCATATCAATGAACAATATGAATTAGTCAAACAAAGACACTACACATGTGAATTGCAGTTATTTCAAGTTGGGTTTTATTTGTTATTTCTGAATATCATATATCATCCTTAGTTTTCCCTCTTTGATTTTGTTTTAGTGTTTAAGAGCCTTTCTTCACTTAGCAAATCCTTTGCCATGAAAGCACCAAAGTTACATCAGTATTGTACTGACTGGTTCCTTTACGGCAGTGGGGAAAATCCGCTAGAATCCAAGTACCAAAACACCAAGACCCCTTCTTTACATGAGCCAAAGTTTCGTCCCATATCCACTGCAAGCCAATGTCTTTTCACATTACCATCAAGGTGAAAATGATTCAGAGCACCAACACAATTTTCTTGCTCAATCAGTCTAAGAAATGTGGATTTCTTGCATTATGGTTTAAAAAAAAAAACAACTCCACACAAAACCAAACCCCAAAACAACCAGAAGCTGGAAGAAAAATACATCACTCTGATTAGCTTGTAAGTTTGAATAGTTAAGTACCTCTCAACCAGTATTCCCCTTTCCCTAGACTTTAGGCAGCTATAAAAACAGGAAAAACAATGTGCATAGTAAAAAACAATAAAAATAAATATTTGAGGGCCTACTAAAATAGGCAATTTACACATTTCATTTAATCCTCACAATACTGTGAGAAGATTATAACCATTTTTACAAATAAGGAAGCAGGCTCAGAAGGGTGAGATGAATGGGGCCAAAGGGTTATGACGACTGAGCTGGGATTTATGTTCAGGTATATACCTACCAAGCCTATGCTTGATTATGCTGCTCTGGCTCTCAAAAGCCCTTCAACTTGAGATTCGTACTAGCTCCATTTTCTAAATTTACACTTTTAAGTCCACAAAACTACTAAATAAGAAAAGAATTTAAAATTATTCTCAAACTACTAAAACAGGAGCTTACAAGGAATATTAGAAAACTCTTCAAGTAATCAGAACATTCCATACCTAAAATTACGGTTATTTTAATTCACTGGTAATGATAGCCTGTAATCCAAGGGCACATGAATAAATATAATTGGCTTATTTTCTTATTGTCACCATCTGTCAATCTCAAAGGAACACAGGCCAAAACAAAGACAAATTCCTATTGTGAAATCTGAATGCTCATTAAATTTATACTATGCACTTAGCAGGATGCTAAGAGGTTCTGGTTTTAAAATCTTACCACCAGTGTTTTGTTTGCATTTTAAGAGCATGCATTCTTTTTTAAAGTGTCTAAGTCTGATAGAGATGGTAGGGCTCATAGGCGATGGCTCTATTGATATAAGTCTGTGTAGTGTCCTAGAATTATGTATGTCTAAGAGGAACTTTTACCATTCCACTGGAAGCAGTCACAGAGTTCCAGTAGAAATGGATTTATTTTATGGGTAATTAACTTAAACCTAAACCTACGCAATTAAAACAATGAAGGGAAAAAAACAACAACCCTAAACCTATGCAATCTGAACAGCTAACACTTAATTGTCCGCTGGGAACATCTCTGCATGTTCATTAAAGAGCTGTTAAATCTTAAATGATTGAAGTTATCTAGTTGTTCCTTATTTGAGTTCTCAGTGAAATTTAGTTCACTAGTTTTAGAGAATTTTTTTTGAGTCCAATTCTAAAAACACTGTGTTCATATGCCAGAAAAAGTGGAAAGGGTGAAATTAGTTTATAATTAAGGCCTCTTCTAGCATTAAAATAGCCATAAGTGACCTCCTTTCTCAAGTCTGATGTATCATCCATTCACTAACTCATACATTGAACACATTTTATGGAACACCAGTTATAAGAAGCAAGACTGAAAGAATAACAAATAAACATATAGGCTCATTAACTCTAGGAAGTCAATACATTAAAGGGGTGATACGTTTGCATACATGTGACATAAAGGGAACTGGGTATCTTAATTTCTCAATGTTCCCTGCCTTCCAAGTGTTGCCTGGGTCTTTAGCCCTTATAAATGGGAATCAGAAAAAGAATGAGTGTGAATATAATGTCTACCTGGCAGGAACTTTAAGGACAAAAATGGCTTAAAGGAAAATAAAATTTAAAAAGGTAAAGTCTGAAAATCTATGTATATAAAAATTAACCCAAATGATCTAAATTCATACAACTATAAAGCTTTATCATCTAAGTACCCAAATGTTGAACCAATCCTTTCCCCCACAAAATACAAGATCCTATACAATTCCTGTGATGGGGACTATTAAAAAGGAATATTCAGTTGAAAATACGTAAACATATATTCATTTCCAACTTTTAAAAAGATTTTGGATTGAAAGTCATCAGAGTACAAATGCAAAGATAATTTTAACATATTTTGATAAAGGCCATAGGAACACTTGTCACGTTGTTCAAATGCCCAATGGCAAGACTCCTGATGAGACAGACCAAACAGGTCACAGTAAATCAACAGAGTGTCTTAGAAAGAAAGCCAATATGACTAAACCCAAAAAGATCACATGAAGTAGCTCATGTACAATACAAACCTAGTTTAATAAATAAAGGAAACACAAGTGGCTGCACTCTGAAGGACATTCAGTTCCTCATGGCCCATTCACAGTCTTCTCTGAGACTCCACTGCCACTTCCACCCGGGCAAGTCTAATGGTGCGGCCATGAAGCTTGTAGCCGTCTTGCCTTACTAATGCCACCGTGCCAGGCTGCACCCCAACACCAGCCGGCACATGACAGATGAGTTCATGCTCATGTGGG